GGGCCTCGGGACGCGGTGGGGGACGGGGAGGAGGGCCTCTGGTCGCGGTGGAAGTACACGGAGGAGGGCCTCGGGACGCGGTGGAAGGACACGGAGGAGGGTCTCGGGACGCGGTGGGGGACGGGGAGGAGGGCCTCGGGACGCGGTGGAAGGACACGGAGGAGGGCCTCGGGACGCGGTGGGGGACGGGGAAGAGGGCCTTGGGACACTGTGGGGGATGGGGAAGAGGCTTTGGGACATGGTGGGGGATGGGGAGGAGAACTTGGGACACTGTGGGGGACGCGTTTGGGGATTGAGGGCCTTGGGACGCGGTGGGGGACGGGGAGGAGGGCCTCGGGATGCGGTGGGAGGACGCTGAGAGAGGACTCGGGACGCGGCGGGGGACGGGGAAGAGGCCTTGGGACGTGGGGGTGAGGGGACGAGAAGAGATCGGGACCGGTGCCTGTCCCTTGGGCCCTCACGGGCCGCCAAACCCCCCCTAAAGGAGCCCGCCACCGTCCCCGCTGCCCACTCCGCCTCCCAGACCCCGATAAAAAGGAACTGCTCCGTTGGCTGGATTTAATCACCACCCACTCCCGGTTCCCGGTTCCCGGTTCCCCTTCAAGGGGGACCGGCGTGGCCTCGGCGTCGCAAGGAGCTAGATTGCCATTGGTCGGTCTGTGCCGCAGCGTGGCGGCACGATCGGTTGAGGCTCCGCGCTCCAGCAGCATGCCCCCGCGCGATTGGTCACGGACTCCTAGAGCCCGCCTCTCGCACGGTTGACTCAGCCCGGGATCGCCGGGGGGAAGGGCGCGGTCTGCAGGGGCGGGCGGGCTGTAGGGAATATGGCGGCGGCGGACCTCGCCCAGATCGCCGATGTGGACATCGATTCCGACGGCGTCTTCAAGTACGTGCTGATTCGGGTTCATTCGGCGCCGCCGTCCGAGGCCCCGGCCGCAGAGAGCAAGGAGATCGTGCGCGGCTACAAGTGGGCCGAGTACCATGGTGAGGGTGGAGCCGGAGGGCGTTTTCGGGGCGGGGCCAGTCGGCTAAGGGGCGGGGCGGGCTCGTGGGCGTGGCGAGAGACGATCCTGTACCAGGTCTGATTCCGGCCTGGCTCAGGGAGTCAGGGTCCTGGAGAGCAAGGGGCGGCCATGGCCCAACCGCAGTCTCCTAGTCTCAGCGCTCTTGCCCGGGTGCACGCCTTCCTCCCTTTCATGGCGTCCCAGCCTGGAGGGGCTCCTCTCCTGGGGAAGGAGCCGCTCGGAGCTGGAGCTTCAGATGCCCTGGGCCTCCGAGGGCCATGGCCGGTGCTGAGCTACCTTCCCTGTCCCAGCTGACATCTATGACAAGGTATCGGGCGAGATGCAGAAGAAGGGCTATAGTTGTGAGTGCCTGGGAGGCGGGCGCATCTCCCACCAGAGCCTGGACAAGAAGATCCACGTGTATGGCTACTCCATGGTGAGCCCACAGCCCAGGTCGGGGGTTAAGAGACCAGCTCTCACGAGCGCTCGCTGCCCTGCACCCAGGAGGCCTGCAGTGCTGGGGATTCTCTGGCCTGTCTCAGCTGCAGACCCCTCCCTCCAGTGGCTTGCCCATTTCCCACGTGGGTTGGGAGGGAGGCCCCTGCCTGTCCCCCAGCCACAGGGGGCCATGTCCTGTTCCTACACCAGGCCTGGTTGGGCCATCACTGCCCTCCAGCTCTCGGAGGCAGTCAGTTTGGGGGTGAAGCTCAGAAGCCTGTCCCTCTGCCTTCTCCAAAGCCACAGTGGTTACCCCGTCTCTCTTGGCACCTGGGATAGCCCTCTAGCCCAGGGCCCACCCTCGAGGACTGCTCACCTTGGCAGCCACCTTTCCTCAGGGGAGCTCCCTGGGGCAGTCAGGGGGGGATGGCCATGCGTGGCTCCACTCGGCGACCCCTCCCCAAGCCGGCTCCTGGGTTTTGCTGCTGATGGACGCCCAGAGCCAGAATGGGGCTGTAAGATTGGCTTCTCTCTTCAGGGTTATGGTCGTGCCCAACACTCCGTCTCCACTGAGAAGATCAAAGCCATGTACCCTGACTACGAGGTCACCTGGGCCGATGATGGCTACTGAGGCCTGCCCAAGGGGCCAGCTGTGCCCTCTGGCCAGGCGTTGGAGACCAACACCAGCCTGGCCCAAGTGCCCCGCTTTACCTCACCCGCAGGAATTAAAAATGTTATCACCCCTGCTGTTCCCCAGATGCTGTGTGTCTTGATTTTTCTGTTTCCCGGTCACCCCTGGGGACCCCTGACTAGAGGGGGTGGGTGGCAGAGAGCCGGAGGTGGCCCTGGAAAGAGCAGGGCCCCTGCTGGCTGGCCCCCACCCGGCTCCACCTCTGGGGGCCCCAGGGAGTGGCAATGCACCGTCAGCCGTTTGTGGTCCGATAAGGGGGCCCCTGTGCTGCTGCCCCCATTTATGGCCTGATTGCTCCTCCATCTGGCTCCTATGTCCAAGGACATCTGGGAGGAGGCTCTTTGAGCTCTTGTGCAAGGAAGCAGCACCAGGTCCCTCGGGGCCAGCTGATATCAGTGTCCCCGTGTGATCCGCCATTGGAGGTCACACGTGATGTGACCCAGGACCCCTTCCAAGACCAGGTCCCACGGCACCTGCCCCGCAGCCACAGGCTCCTGCTCAAAGTAAATGGCTGAGGCTTCAGACTTGGAGCTGGGAGCCCCCTTCCCAGGACCCCCTCCCCTCCTCCCAGTGCAGGGCGGTGGGGGGACCAGCTGTGGCAGGTGGATGTAGTATGGGAGAGGGGAGAGCCAGGCACTGCCGAGCGGCTGTCCTGGGTGATGAGCATGGGTGCCATCTCGTGGTGCGTGCCTTCTGTGAGCTCGCGGGAGCCTCACGGTCGCCACTTTAGGCAGGCGCTATTGTGACCACATGTCACCGATGAGACAGGTCCGGTAAGGCAAGCTCCAGAGGTCCCACCGTGGTCAGTGGCAGCCAGACCCTAGGGTGTGTGCCTGGCAGCCCCCAGCCACACTGCCCGGAATGGTTGTTGGATAAGTGACTGTCATTTATACTTGAATAAGCCACTGGAAGCCACGGACTGAGTTCCGGAGAAGGATGAAGCCCCTGGTTGCTTGGGGCAGGGGGCCGGGGGGCTGGGTGTGCACATGTAGGGCTACTGCTCCAAGCTCTGGGAGACCTCAGAGCCTGACGGGGTCACTGCAGCGCCTCCCCCACCGGGCCTCCAGGCAGGGCTGGGCAGTGGTGGGCATGATGACTGCGGCCCGACCTTTGGTCTGAAGGAGCCGGGCAGGTGGGAGCCGACCTGGGCCAGGGGCCCCTCTCCTGGACACTTTTACAGCCGGATGTTCATCCTCATCAGCACAGGGTGGGGCCTGCAGACGGGCAGCAGGTACAGAAGGGGCCAAGGCCCCACTCTCCAGTTGGAGCAGAGTCAGCCTGTGGGGCCACAGGCAGATAACCGGGCAAAATAGCCACAGGCCGCCCAGCACGCACACCGTCCATTCCCCCTGGTCCGGCCATGCCTCTCCCCGGCCACCTCCTGCCTGCCTTGGTCCTGCTCCTGGGTGAGTTGTCGGATCTGGCTGCCAAAGCAAGGTCAGCCGCGGGCACAGGTGCTAGGCCCTGGGTGAACTTGCGGGGGTAGGGGGGTGGGCAAGACAAGCCATTCGGAAAGGGACAAGAATTCTGCTTCCTCTGGCCCCCAAAGTCCACAGGTCCCAAGGCAAGACCCTAGTCCACCGCTCTTAGACCAAATGGAGCCTGAGGAGGGGGCAGGGGCACCCTCCTGGCAGCCCCTCCAGTTCCTTGTTGGGCTCAGGCTCCGCTCCTCGGGGGCTGTCCCATGGTGGGGGCCCTTGGTCCCATGCTCACATATCCCCCGCCATCCCCCATGTAGCCACCCTCTCCCAGGCCAGATGTACTCTGCCCGGCCCAGCCTGGGAGCCCCGGGTGGCAGGACCCAGCCCCCTCCCCACATGACCTCTTGGCCCCAGGCCCCAAAGCAGAACAACGTTGTGGGTTGCCTGGGAGTGGGAGGTCACCCCTGCTTCCAGCCACCTGGCTGTCTCTCTGCTAGCAGCTGGGCCCCTAGGCTGGGCCTGGATCCCCAACAACTGCAGGGTCCCCCGCGAGGCCACGTGCAACTTCGTGTGTGACTGTCCAGGCTGCTCCGAGGAGACCCAGTGTGGTAAGCTGGGGCTGGGCAGGGGGCAGGCAGGCCCACCCTCTGCAGGCGGCCGCTGACCTCCTGCTCTCCAGGTTACCACGGAGCCTCGCCCGCCCTGGGCGCCCCCTTTGCCTGCGACTTCGAGCAGGACTCCTGCGGCTGGCAGGACATCAGCACCTCAGGCTACAGCTGGCTTCGAGACCGGGCGGGAGCCGCAATGGAGGCTCTGGGGCCGCGCTCAGACCACACTCTTGGCACGGACCTTGGTGAGGCCAGGCGGGTCTCCGTGACGCCCCCTCCCCTCTACTTCCGGCCCCATGTCCTGACCTCTCTGCTGCGCCAGGCTGGTACATGGCTGTTGGCACCCACCGTGGGAAAGAGGCCTCCACCGCAGCCCTGCGCTCCCCCGTCCTGCACGACGCAGCCCCCACCTGTGAGCTGAGGCTCTGGTACCATGCAGCGTCTGGAGGTGGGTGCCCAGGACCCTGCTGCCGGGGTGGCGTGTCTGAGGGGAGAGACCCGAAAGGAAGGAGAGCTGCTGCAGAGCGTGAGCGGGCACCCCGTAGGAGGGACAAGTGTCCTGGGGCAGGGCACAGCCAGCAGGCTGAGGGAAGCCCTGGCGCCCGAGCCACCCCGGGACCCCCCCCCCATTCCAGATGTGGCTGAGCTGCGGCTAGAGCTGACACACAGGGCCGAGACCTTGACCCTGTGGCAGAGCTCCGGGCCCTGGGGCCCAGGCTGGCAGGAGCTGGTGGTGACCACTGGCCGTATCCAGGACGACTTCCGGGTGAGCTGGGGGTGGTCTGGGGGCTGGGGGCAGCAGGGAGGGTCTGAGCCCGGACTTAAGTCCTAAGGACCCCACTCTTTTCAGGTGACCTTCTCTGCCACTCGAAACGCCACCCACAGGGGCACCGTGGCCTTGGACGACGTGGTCTTCAGGGGCTGCGGGCTGCCCAGTAAGGCCCCCCTGCCGTGGACGCACACCGGGGTGGGGGGCGGTAGGCGGGAGCCCCTCACCTGCTCACTCCCAACTCAGATGGTCTCGAGCCTCTCCCCCCGCTGCCCCGGCCCCGAGGTCTGGGGTCGCCGCGACGGGCTGCCCCTCCCCCGTCCCAGCCCCCCAGGCACACTGCCCCCCGGGGCAGCACCGTTGCCAGAACACGGCCTGTGTGGAGCCCCACCAGCTCTGTGACGGGGAGGACAACTGTGGTGACGGTTCCGACGAGGGCGCGCCGGCCTGCCGTGAGCCGGGGGGCTGCCGGGGACCGTCCAGAGAGCGTGCGGCGGCGTGGGGCGCGGGGTGGGCCGAGGGGCCCTGCTGGCGGCCTGAGCACCCCCCGCCCCCCCAGGCCACCACACGACCACAGACTTTGAGACAGGCCTGGGCCCGTGGAACCCCGCGGAGGGCTGGGCCCGGAACCACAGTGCCGGCGCCAGGCCCGCAGCCTGGCCTCGCCGCGACCACAGCCGGAACAGCGCGCACGGTGAGGCCCGCCGGGGACGCTGGTCCGCACCCACCACAGCCCCGCCAGCCCGGCCCACACCTGTCTCCCCCCAGGCTCCTTCCTGGTCTCCGTGGCCGAGCCCAGTGCCCCCGCCGTCCTCTCCAGCCCTGAGTTCCAAGCCTCAGGCGCCCACAACTGCTCGGTGAGGCGGGTGGGGGACACAGGGTGGCCTGCCCCGGGGGCCCGGGCTTGCGGGTCTCCCTGACCTTCCTCGGCTTCTTCTCAGCTAATCTTCTACCACTACCTGCATGGGTCCGAGGACGGTTACCTCCAGCTGTTCCTGCAGACCCAGAGCCTGGGCTCCCCCCAGGGCCCCGTCCTGCTGCGCAGGCGCCATGGGGAGCTGGGGGCCGCCTGGGTCCGAGACCGGGTTGACATCCAGAGCGAGCACCCCTTCCGGGTGAGGCTGGAGAGAACAGTGGCCGGGGCGGGGCGCCTGGGAGGTCTGGAGGGGGCAGGGGAGCTCGGGGGGCGGGGGGGGGGGGGGGGCTGGCCCTGGTCGCTCCAGGCCGCCTCAGCAGGAAGCCGGTTTGTTTGTTGGTGAGCTCCGGGAGGACGCCCCAGGGAAGGAGCGGTCACTTTCACAGCCCCTCTTGCAGGGCCGTGTGGGGGACGGTGGCCAGAGAGGGTGTCCAGTGACATGGAAAGCACGAGGCGGGGAGAGGGAGGCTGGAGGGAGCCGACCCGGGGAGGAGAGAAGGGTGCTGGGGCACGCCCTGAGCCCCCTGCGCCCTCAGATCCTGCTCACTGGGCACACGGGCCCGGGCGGCGTCGTGAGCCTGGATGACCTCATCCTGTCGGAGCACTGCCAGCCAGTCCCAGGTGGGCCTGCCGAGCCCTCCCCGCCCGGGGAAGCGCCACCCCTGCCCACCTGACCCCTACTCTGCCTCCACAGAGGGGCCCAGCCCGCCTGCTGGGCTCTGGGCCCCCGCCCCCCGGCCCCAGGACTTCTGCGAGCCAGGACATCTTTCCTGTGGGGACCTGTGTGTCCCCCCGGAGCAGCTCTGTGACTTCCAGCAACAGTGCCAGGGGGGCGAGGATGAGCAGGAATGTGGTGAGGGGCAGCTGGAGCCGGGGGGAGGTGGGGCCCTCTTCAGCGGCCCTCTCCCCGCTGCCCCTCAGCACTGGCTACCGTTCCAGGCAGCACGGACTTCGAGCCCCCCACGGCCGGGGGCTGGGAAGATGCCAGTGTGGGGCGGCTGCAGTGGGGGCGTCTCCGCGCCCAAGGCAGCGGGGACCCTGGCTCGGATGCCGGCGGGGCTGCTGCTGGTGAGGCCCGTGCCTGCGCGCCGTGCCCGCAGAGGGCTCTGCGCTCTGCCTCTTCGCACCAGGGGGTGTGTCTGCGGCGGGGGTGTCTGGCGGGACCTGGCTCTCAGAGGACTTGCTCTTCCTCAGGGCACTTCCTGTCCTTGCAGAGGGCCTGGGGACAGCTGGCAGCAGAGGCCCGGGTCCTCACTCCCCCCCTGGGCCCCTCGGGCCCCCGCTGTGAGCTCCACATGGCTTACTATTTCCACAGTTACCCCCAAGGTACCGCCCTGAGGCTGACAAGAGC